ATCCACTATGTGAGTGGATCAAATCATTTTCTACTCTTAGGATTATTGAGTTCGTTGATTGTCTAGTACCACACTTTAACTTTTCAAGTAGGCTCATCTCCAGCACATTTCGTTTCACTTTCATCGAAGATGAAAATGTATTTCGATACAAAGCTATCACGATTGTTTTGTTTTTAATAAAACTGAGTGCCGAGTGAAGCTGTTACGAACATACGCTAAAAATTAATGAGAAATTATTTTGCCGTATTCCTTCACAGGGCTTAGTATCAGTATATTTAATCATTACAAAAAATATAAGACGGTAACACAATACTCGTTGTAGAAATTGCGACAAATGAAAGGTATCTGACGATTTAACTTTAATGTGTTTTTCTACGATCATGCCAGGTTGAGGTCTGTTTCACAGCTCATTAGTCAAAATACGAGTGGAACGTTGACCTGAGGGATCTATTCCCTATATTTCGATAGAACAAGATAACTCACAAGGCTCTCTGATTATGTTGTGAATGCGCGTTTCATGGCAAGCCGGAACCCATCTATTGACTCATAGGCCATTTGGGAGGCATCTTTCTATATCCCTAAAAGTACTCCAATACTGTTCCTCATGAATCAAGAACGTGAACGTGTATCCAGTGAGCTCGGAGCTTTTCAACTACTTATTTACTGATTATTTGGAATCAGAGTTTGCGAATTTCCCTAGCCGTTCTAGCTAAAATTGATTCGTCAACCTAATTTTTGCACAAGGAGTAAGCATCTTGCCTTCTAAAATCAGTACAAACATCAACGCTCCGGTGGGGCAGAGTTTGAGACTTCTTTAACTAACTCTATAAACCTATGTTATGACTAGTTATAGTGTGAGGAGCCCAAGATGATGGAAACCATCTATCACGACGCATTCACGAACCGGGTTGGGCGACATCGATATATGAAATCTGTCGCGTGGACAATATTTAGCTGCTCTGTAAATTGTAGTGCGGAATAAAACGAATTCACTTCAGTCATGCTTTGTAAATGATTGTTTTATGAGTAGTAACCTCTCGATGACTGTTTGGATCCGCGTCAGTGATTGTGCTAGTGCATTATCTGATTACTTAAGCTTGTCTCAAAAAAGTGCAATAATCTGACGATAGATAACCACACACGTTATGTCACTGGGCAAATACAAATGATATACCAAGGACTGAAATTCTAAAACCGGAGGAAACAAACTATTCAAACGTTAGTTCACACGGGCGCATTTGAATGATGCATTGTTTAGAAAATAAAACATTATAGTAAACTGAGAGGAATTTAGGAGTTCTTATTTCGCATCACTCAGTCTAAGACAGGTAGCATCGATGGTTTTGTTCCGTCGGGCGGAAGAGAGATATCTATTTTTAATCAGGTGACTCGCGCTCACCGACTTAGCTGGACAAATGAGTTGGTTATAACCACATTTCTGGATGGCTATATTGATTGATTATCTTAGACCGTGTGAATTATGTGCACTTTGTTACATTCAAATATTAACAAACAAGTCCTTTTTCGCTATGAGTTTTCCTATCAGAGCGAACTTTTCTATATTCCGCCGATTATTAAATATGTCAATTTTCAAATTTTCGCACAAGAGAGAATTTCCATTGAAAAAAACACCCAAACATGACAAAAGCACCACAACCAATTCAGTATTTACACCGAAGTTAAACAAAAACTTGGAATCGTATTACAACTCTCCAGCCTCTCTGCATAAATACGTACATCCCATTTGCCCAATTTTGGTATTTCTGAGTTGTCTGTGCGTTTTTCTTCATATTAAGGTTGCATTCGATGTTCCCTTGTGACCATAAGCATAATTGTTGGTGTTGACTGAATTTTGGTGCGTACCATTTAAAAGCAATGCATCTACCGAAACTTCAGATTTCTGATAAAATTCTACGTGGGCTTGTTTTAGGCACCTCAATTAGTTAAGTTTCCCAGTGTTTGGACAAAATAAAGAAAACACGTTATCAACACGCTAATAACTGGAAAAAATGAGGCACATTGGTGGTATAAGCGAAACTTTTCCGTATCAATGTTTTGATATTGTTTTCGTTTAAAATAAAAATTTGCAATCACATACTTTTTAGGTTTCGTTTGTAGAAACATCGATAATTTCATCATTTTAGTAGATTGCCGACTTGTAATGCTCTCCAATCAAAATATGATTGAAAACTCCACAGCATTACCTTTCATGTGTTTATTTTTTTTGGCAGACATTCGGCAGACAAACTTGCGCTTAACACACGCATATTTGGACTTCAGTCGGTGTAAACGGATGCGATTACCCCGACCTTGACCTCAGTGTATAACCCCAAAAAGACCGGGCGCAGCACCACCAGATAACCACCAAACGAAAGGAGCTACCGAATGAATTCAGCCGATATGCGTATGTAGATGTAGGCTCGTGTTTGTAAATATACTCCTTTCTTAAAGTATTTGAATTAATCGATGAATCTACATTACACGTAGACCAAATGTAATGAGAACGAACGAATGAAACTCCGCTTTCAAAACAGTAAATTGATGCCATAATCATTGAAATGTTGTGCTATAAAACAGCAATATACAAGATTGAAGTTGTTAGATTATAAAACTTCGTGAGGTATGATAAAACGAATTTAACAGATACTGGAGTGTATACTGAAATATCGGCTATAATCCAGAACACGAGCTTAATTAAATATTTCAACAGTTACCCAATCAACATAAAAAATCCCATACTTGACAGAAAAATTTCCTTTCAGTGCTAGGACATTTGTTAAGGCTTAAGGATTTTGAACGTTTTCTAGACCAGCGAACGGTTTTTGTATAAAAGCATAATGCTGTGTTAATTTAGAGAGAAACACGATTTAAATTTGCGACATATGAAAAACTAAGGGGACATAAACATACGTTAGGAATTATCTCATGATCAATGTGTATCCATCACCACTTCTACCTACCATTTACAGTTACAAGCTCGCAGATCAAAACTATCGCTATTCGGATGCGTCAGTTTTACTTCATGTACAAAGGGAATGTCCAATTTTCCACGTGGTGAGGAAGGGGATAATTGTAACGGTAGAGGCAGGTCGTGAATCCAGAATCTACTAAGAGGAATCAGGAATTGAGTTAAATAGTTTGTCCAGCACCATGGTAAAAATAAAAGTATAATTGATTTGGAATCAACTGCTTTTTATTTACTAACTATTGCAAATGAAATGAAATCATTGATTAGCGAAAAACGGTTCGCCTTGTGTTGTAAATAACGACACATACGGGTTGTGTTTTCAATCATTCTTCCCCGTACGAGCTCAGACCTAACTGCCTCCAGTTGAGATTGTTTGCATCATCATCTGGTGTAAAGTGTTCTCAATTTAAATACTGCCAATCGAATGCAATTGTAAATCTTAGACGTACATGACTGATCCACCAATTTCCTATAAAATAATTTGATTACACTTAGACGATGGTTTAAATATGTGGGAATAAAAGTCCGTCAATTAAAGTCACATGTTAAAAGTAAATGCACCAAAAAGATGAAGAAGAACAGTTGCCAGAAATGGCAGTATATGAAATCAGTTCAACCAACAGGCTATTGTTTTTTTTCGTAAGCAGGGGGAAGGTCAGTAGTTCTGAGTGGTGATCAACTTCACGTATTTTGATAATCTGCGTCTAGCATGTTTCTTATTGGTTGCTATCTACAGTTTATGCGGTCATCTCACAATTCTGATGTAAACACACCAGCAGCGTTGAAACGATTTTACAATGCTTCTCAGTCCGTTACACTTTCTTTCGCTTGACATGAATAAACTACCAAAAGGGAACGTTTGCTGCATTATCCACACTGTTCTCTGAGTTAATGTTGACAAGGAAAAAATGGTTTGATCTATGCATGTAATTAGATTCAGCTTACAATATACTATCGTATGACCCTTCATTTCATAGAATCACCCTAAGTTTGGTCTTAAACAATCTGGAGTTTATTGCAAATGCTTGTGGCATTCCAAAATCTGGAAAGTGAGTTTCGAAAATTCCAACTGTTGTTTTGTGGGCGTGTTTTCACGTGTTCTGATTCTAGCCGCTAGTATTTACCATGATTGTATTTAAACAATTTATGCCACAGTCACATTGACTTTAATTTCACCGTCGCCTCTTGATTTTCTCAGTTCATTGCTATCCCTGTTTGGATTGGCCGTTTCCCCGTCCCGGAGACTGATTTTAACTTCGCTGTGTATCAACTGTTTGAAGGTGGGACGAGTGATAATATCAATATCAATATTATTATTGTTCTTTCCCGGTTGATTATGATTCTTCACAAAGGCCATCTTGGATAAATGACCGGTTCAATACTTCACATTAGTATCTGGTTGGCTCATTTCCCAACAGATTAGAAAATGGAGTGACACAGAGGTTTAATTAATTTGTTAGTTAATGTCCTGATTACATGAAAAATCTAAAACGGGGGCAAATACCAAAACTACGCAACGTTGTCTATATACACTCAAAGTATATGACATATTCTGCTAAAGCTGGTACAAAAGCTATTCAATGTGTAGGAGACAGATATTGATCAGAGAACACAATCAAAAAGCCTTTACATACTGTTAAATCTCACCGATTTTTCATACATAGTAGCCGATTTTGTCCTCATCGAAGGAATTCGAAAACAATATCTAACGGTTTCGTTCTCTTTGTGTATATCGAGCCAATTTACTGGAAACTGAACAATATCACTAAGATTTACTAGTTCAAAGAGTGACTCAATTGGTTTGACCCTAAGTGTGTTGTTTCACTTCATTGCTGTATGATACAGTATCTTTCCTGGATCGTAAGGGGAAACATTCCAGTTCACACAATGGTCAACCCCCTAAAGAGTAACTTTGTGACAACGTCCCCATGTGATTGGGTAAGCAATCATTAGTCAATGTAAATTTGTATGGGTGAAATAGCTTGTGCCTTTGACTGAAAAAGCTACATAGGTAAAGCAAATTTTCCACTGCTTAATGAATGATACCTATATTTCGTAATTCAGATTTAAGGAAAAACAATTTATACAAATACAGTGCCCGGCTTACGTGATCGAACATTTCAAATATCTTTGCGCTTGGCTGATGAATAGTGCATATTATAGTCCGGCCTCCACGAGCTAAAGTCCGCAGGAGTGAAATGCATTGGTAACAAGAAGCACTGTCCAATCCACTGAGCAACGAAGTACGGCCAATATGAAGAAGTCCAAAAGTGATGGAAGAAACGAACGTACCAAATCAGAGACATCGCGAGTGAATGGGATGGTGGTGGAAGTGGGACGTTTGGGTTGTGGTCATATGGGTCGAAAATGAAAGGAATGAATGAATAAAGGCGCATACAACGTTGATATCACATGATTAGCAAGCGGTGAATGATGGCATTCGTGGCAGTTGGTTTGATATGCGAGAGTTAATTTTCCACATGCAAAAATGGGGTACCCGGGATTTGGCAAATGCGATGAGCAACCAAGGGAGGAGACAATCAATGAAAACGGAACCAAAACAGAGGCAGCGGAAGACCAGTTGGATCATTGAGAAAAATATTGCTTCGATGCCTCAACTTTAGCAGCAATTATGAATAAATTTGACGCACATTTTCTTCCTCGTGCGAATAGCTATGAAAAAACACACGGCAAAATGGTGAATTACCAAAACATGAAAGTCTTGATCGAGTATTACTCCAATTACGATCCACATTTATCAGTCCTATTAAATTAGTTTTCTTAATCAACCAAAAGCACCTTCATGAGCTCAAAGAAGATACCAAACCGCGAAGTAAATGCGTGTTCTGCTGGTGTTAGGGATTTGTTCTTGCTGGAATAGTTGTTTGTAGCTGTTTCGCATCCAGATGAGGCAAAAACATCAGTGCCACTTCAGAGAAACCAGAAAAAAGATTTCGTAGTTGTGAAACTTTACTATGGTGTGCACAAATCTGCGAATTGGAACAATGTGTTTCGAAACATTTTGCAGTTACCTATCAAACAATGTAATACTCGTAAAACTTCGGACAGATCAAGTTTATATATGGTTGAAATCAAATTTTCGGCCTGTATATAACAATTTTAAATAAAATCAGAAGAGCTCCATTAAAAGGCTTCATCTTAAGTTAACTAGCTTGTCCTGAAGGAAGAGCATGAGAAATTTTCGTCAACTGCGGACCCTTCCCAAGGACTCATTACCCGTTAGCCATCATCAGGTTATTCCTTACAAATTATGACTCAGTTAAAGCAAATACACCAATGTCTAATCCAATTATAGTTCCAATAAAAAAATACGGAGAAGGTTCTATATTGATACGTAGCTTTTGTCACAAAAGGTTGTTGAGTGGTAATTAAATTGTGCAGCTCATTCACAGCTGCAAATCCGTACAGCGAGAAATCGTCATTCATCAAAAGACGATCGATAAATTTTTCAAATCATTTTTTTCCGCATAAAATACAGTTTTTGTGCTCGCCTGATGAACCGTTTATCTTTGGAGAGTATTCACATGATTAGTAAAGCTCAATCAGTTGTATATATTTTAATGGACGACAAAAGAAATTGCATTTTTACATTATAAATTTATCCGTCAGATACAGTACTATAAAACTATATCCGTTAAACTCAGAAATAAAGAAATTGTTGTTTCATGCTCATCGGGAACTCAAATGATTCCAGTTCCACTCTCTTTCTTAATGCTGTGTGTGAGTCCCCTTAGCCGGCCTAAGCTGAGTGCTTTGAACTGCAACTGACCCCTTACAAAAGCCTTTAACCAAACTAGGTTAATTGCTTGGTTTTACTCGAACACAATTAAGAACAAAATCCATTCCCTCCAAACCTCGCGATAAGCACTGTACTTTCGAGGACAAGGGGAAAAAGTAACCACTCAAGCTTATTATGGTATCTAATGAATGTATATATGAACTGCTTTGTGTTGATGACTTGGACGCTGATGAACTGGAGCAAATTTCTCGTGTTCGCTATGTAAAGTAAGTGGAAGGTTAAGGATGGGGATAAATAATCATACAACCACTGCAGAAAAATATTACTTGTGGGAGCTTTTGAACTTAGTTCTCTTTTCTTGGGGGGGGAGGAGGAGTGAGGAAGAGGGAGATTAAGTCACGTTTTTGCTCGGTAAGGGAACGGTGTACCTAGGCGAGATATATAGAGGTAGTCTAACATTGTTTTCTCTGAATTTCATCTAACTTTCAAGAGTGTACGGAGTAGTAATGGCCTGAGTTGTTAATTTTAGCATTATTCTATCCCGTTGGAAGTGGAAGTTTAAAATCTTGAAAATCTGATGACAAATAAGCTGCTCCTTCTTCGTTTGGCCGACTGATAGTCAAATCTCGGATGAAGCTCTTGCGTTCATTTTCAACCAACTTAGAATGAAAACTGCTATGTCGGTAGTTTTGGCCCGAAAAATATTTCATGGTCATGCAATATTGTACGGAATTCATGTTATTGACAGTTAGATTAGTAGAACACCTCCAAGAGATTTTGTTTCAGTTCATTGAATAATCGTTCCTCATAAACCAACAGACCTCAAACATAATGCACAACGGGGTTGTGAAAAGCTGCAGTACGACAATTTAATTCCGTTATGGATAATGGAAGTGATTACGGGGCAACAGTGTCGGACACAGTGCAAATGAAAAGTCGTGCAGAGAATCACAAGCTGTAAGGTGCTGACGGGTAATGAAATCAAGAAGCGTTGCGTTTTATGTAGTTCTCCTCGTGCTGTGCTGTAATTAGACATCTCAACATCATTGTTTTCGATAATTATTCAAGGGCAGGTAGCCAGTTAGGTTGTCACCTTAATGGGCGAGGGAAATTACTCGAGATGAAATCGTAGGCCACTTCTGAATGCAGTTGATCTGGGGTTGAAGTAGTTTAATTCCGTTTCAAAAACTTCCGCTTTCAATGGGTTTTGATGTTGGATGGATGAGTGTCCCAGACACTCAACCATATTGGTTTGTATTAACTTTTGTGGTTTTAAAACTATACGCATGATCAAATAACATTTCAACTTAAACAATAGAACAGTCTCAAGTATGTTTTCGTAAAAAGCTAATCTTTTTTGCTGCTTCTTATACAATCACATCAGCAATTTTCCCCGGTATACATATAAAACAAAATCTATAGATAAGTAATAAACCATTGCTAATCAGAAAAGCAGAATTGTATGGATAACTATTGCATTTTCACGGACTAAATAATGTAAAATATTGATTAAGTCAAGCAAAATTATTGCATGTACCTTTATAAAATCAACTATTAAAATTGAACCGAGCTGCGAGGACTATACCCAGTGAAGCATTTTGGGAGAAGATACTCTCGTTTTGCATAAAACTTGTACACTAACATATTATTTCCACACTTCCAATGCCTTAGCGTTTTTAGATAAAGTTGACTGTTTTTAGCACAATCCGTCTTTGAGAGTTTCCCTTATATGAGAACCAGGCTGGGGTGCGAACGTGGGAATCGGAAACACTTCAAGCTAATCTCATCAAATCCTAAAAATGATTTGTCTCATGTGATTCGCTTATAGGCTTCCAAGATTAATCTTTTCAATGGACCAGCAACTTTTTCAATAAACACCCAATAAAATAACGGGATAGTAAGGCGAATTTATTCTGCCTACCTCCTCGCTATTTTTATTCATAGTAGATTTGGAGAAATAAAAAAAGAGTTGAATCAATACATTTTACGAGTTCTCCAAGCGGTATTCTGTCCAGTGTGAACTAGTACCGATACAAAACAAGAGATTACAAAGTGCCGTTTTTATCCCACCAGTAGAGGGAAAGACCCTTTTGGTGATGCAAAAAAAGAATCATTGAAGTCGGACCATTTTTTCACTTCTATCGTTTGCACTTCCTAATTTTCGATACCGTTATTTTTTGCACTTATCCTTCAAACCGCAGCGGTTTCGACACAACCGATTTTAAGGAGCAGTCTTACATCCTCAGGCGACAGTTAAGCGCATCCTTTTGATCCTGATTCAAAACTGCATAGTGAAACTCAAATAGACAGTGAAATAACCAATATTCTTATATAATGTGATACAAAATAACCGACACATTTGTATGTTTTCTGCAGAAACGAAATCACTCAACCTGTAAGATTGATTGATTCCTTCGAAATGACAGCATGAAGAGGTCGTTTGAAACACTTTTCAGGCTTTTCACTGTACAATTTCTACTGGTCGCTGAACGAAACAACAACTGGACTGCAAAAAAAGGAATTTTATTTGTGTGAAGTCTGCACAGCAGACTACATCGTGGCAGAATATCCAATGAGGATATTTGCCGCGACCAAATATACCGTTGGCTATCCGCAAAATTCCACGATAGCAAGAGGCTAAATCTGGTTGCCATGGCAATCAATATTGTTTCACCCGGAGCAAATGAGGAACGACCATCGAACTTGTCGGACTATGAGCAAATGTGTCTGATATGTACTTCATGGTCTTCATTACAAATGGAGAAGATTGTTACTCTCATGAGATGAGCTTTTTGAACTTACGGGGCTTTGTGAATCAAAGATGAAAGTATACGACCAGTCTAATGTTCAGCGTAAGAAATTTAGTGACATCGGTTCACAATCTTTCAATAGCCGGGCAACCATATTTAAAAAATGACGATATTCTTTAGTGTGACCGCCTTACCGGTGGGTCTGGGGAGATGATTTATGAAATCAGTCGAACTAAACCAACTCTAGGAATTGTTCACTTTGAATTAGTTTAGTTTGCTTGCCCATATCCGTATTGATATCCAAGCGAAATGAATTTTATTCATTTTAAGAACAAGACCATCTTGCTTTTTGTTTTTAAACATTTCTTTTAAAATTATGCTCTCATTATCAAGGTGTTTCCATAGTTATAACTATTAATGGAATGTTATTACTGTCTCACAGCCCCTCTTTAAGAGTGCTCACATGTGTACCGGGAAAATAATGAGTTCCCCTGTTAACTGTTTTCCATCCGCCGCGATCTATTTATTCGCTTGATTAATCTACTTCAGGAATGGCTGTTCAACTTAAACAAATTTCTATAAGGTGCTGTGCTATAAAACATGTGGAATGGTTTGCAGCAGACATAACTTTGATCAAACATGAACAAACCTGATCTGCTGATACATTACTGGGACAGATGACAAGATACATGGGGATTCATTGAAGGAATAACCACTGTTTCGTGCGCATATGTGTCGGCCTGTCTATCGCCTACTTTGGGTGCCCTGTTTGAATGTTCTGATCAAGGTTAGAAACAGTTTCGGTTCGGTCAAAGCATGACTTAGCGTAAAGTTATGAATAACTCTGCTTCGTTTGTTGAAGCCCACCTTCCACAGTGAAGTCCAAGGGATGACGACTGTCACTGGTTAGAGACATTGAAAGATGTGGCTCATAATAGGAATCAATGATGCGAATGCCGTACAGTTTGGCTGTTACAGACAAACTGACACAAGAAGACAAGAAAAAAGCATACAATGAAACAGAAAATAATTTTTATCCTTGTTATCCTGATACTCCGCAATTGAATTTATTTCATTTCATTCTTTGCTGTATGCCAATCTTACCATTTCCTGCGGTTATTGTTGTTCCGTCGGCAGTTTTTTTCTCCACAGTTCAGTTACATATATATCCTGCTTAATAAATGCTGCTCCCTCTCATACAGTAAGTACCGCATGGTATACACGAAGAAGATTGTGATGTAAAACCGTGTTGTACTGTTTGGAGTGCCGGCTATCATTCAACCTCAAAAATACAGTCGACACGGAAAACCTATATGTACTGGTTTCGTTGTATTGCTATATACTATATATATATATACTATCATCTCAATAAACTTCCTTGCAAACATTTCTCCTACTTAAGCATCAGCCATCACCATCATCAGCGTCAGCCCTAAGACGTACCCAGATTCAGGACACTGTTTTTTAATCGGTCCAAACTTATATGTTTCTCCAGTGTAACCTATTCTCTGGCGATCTCAGTCTACTATGGAAATCAATCACTATTGCAACCGGTTGTTTCTCTCGGTGGCTCTCTTGATTATGCAGTTTGATATCTCTTATTGATATTGTAAATTACATTTTTGACATATGTTTTCCTGTTACCACTGTATTTTTACAACACTGTAAGATACCAATTATATTCCTCAAAGGCATTCATCGTTAGACATTATATGAGCTCAAATGTATTAGAACGACCGAAGTTAAACTACTGGTTCCATCTGCTAAACGTGAAATAAGGAAACAGGATTCATTCGATAAAAACAAATACGTTGGAACGCATAATTGCAAATGTATGTTGCATGAAGTTCGACTACTTAACGGGAGAAAGTATAATTTCCAGTTCTTCCAATGGCACTTATCTTCCCTTCACTTGATCGTCTTCAGTTATTTGGCCTCGATTTCTCCATTATTTGAAGCTGTTTCTCTCGATAAAATGTATAGCCATTTTCGGTATCTTGAAATAACATCTGCAACCAGTTCAGATGATCTCGGTACCGTACTTGATGTAAAATCAGTATCACTCCGCTTTGCGGATATATCTAGTCTTTCACTTGAATTAAGAAATATTCCTGAGTATGAGTGTATAGTAGGAATTACGCACATCCCCAAAGGGACAGATCAGGTGTCAATTTCAAAACTTTTCATACTAATCACTCTCACTTCTTCCAACTTAAAATTCATGGATCAACGTCTTTAGTTGTGGCGCATCATTTTGAGTTAAACTTATCATTTTTCATACAGTAAAAACGGTTTTACGCCAGATTTTGGCTCCTCCTCAATTTATTTTGTGTGCAATTCTCTAAATAGCCGATTCAAATGTGTGCCTTGAGCTCCTATTGATTACTTCCAAACTTTCGATTTCGTATCCCGCTTCCCTATGCCTGATAAGCTCAATCCCCGATCTGTCTCCCTTTGCTGCCATAATCAGATCACTTCAGTTTGTACAACCATTAAGCATGCACTTTCGTGAGTCGGTTGAGATATTAACTGAATATCAAAAATCACGAAAACAGGGAACGGTGTCAATTGACAATTCGGACTTACTACATAATGATGTCTTATCACCGTAAATTTGGACAATTTATTTTAGCGACTTACATGTTGCTCCTCCAGCTCATCATTGTAAGTATATTATCGAAATTATCATTTCCATTTCTAATCACATTGAATTTAAAATTTGCCACATTAATTCAATCCATCTTTTTACGTATTCCACTTCATCTGGTCTTAATCATAACTCTGATAAATTCATTATGTGGCCTTACCTTAAACTGCTCTCAATCACCGTCTAAAAATGCACAGATTAAAGGAAAGCAAACGAAGAGGGTCAGTCATGTGCAGTAGTTGGGTATTATCCTCCAAAATAATCTTCCCTATTCTCTACATACCTTGAGTGGTGCTAACAAGTTACTTCCCTACTGTTCTTTATAGTCACCGGTATTCTCTAAACAACAATTCTAGAATATTGCAACTATATTATCTAGATTATTAGCTCTTAGAATCGGCCAACTTGGGTTTCTGAATTTTCCCATTCCCTGTCAAAGTCGATTTGAGCCGACCATGACATATTTGCGTGCCGAAGGATTGGGTGACGTCACTTCCGGCTCCCGTTACCTGAGGATCAATAACATTTTAATAACACTGATTTGTTACTACTGATATAAGGGATTGCCCTTGACCGCTCACATAACGGAACCAAACTTAATCTCACTCCTGAGAAAACTACAGTACATTGTAACAAGTATACTGGCGAATCTTCGCATTCACAGGTAGAGGATTTTCGTCGATATGCCGCTGTGGTGCAACATCCAGGTTACGGGTACACATTAAGGCAATGCAATTTGTAAACTTAAAAAGGTTGGTGTGTTTCAAGTAACAACTAAAAGACAACTATGTCACCGAGCTTATGTTTTTTTTCATTTGGTTTGTAATTAACCATTTGGCTATGTGCTAATTTCAGCTAGCAAACAAGGTTTTTAAAAATTAAACGAATGCAGAAGTCACAGAGTAAATGAATTATGTTAGAGAACTTTAAAAAAGAATATTCCGCGTTTTCTCAATTTAGTCGCATTCCGCTGAATTGTGGTATGTTGCTCTATTCATTAAAGTGAATGAGGTACTACGCAGCTCGTGTTTTTAATGACCTAAGGTTATAATGCTAACCGATACGCATACATAACCTGATGTTTTGTCGTATAATTTGAACAATTAAACGACATTCCTTTTGCTTTTACATACCACAACCGGAAACTTTAAACCAGGGATATGTTGTACTGATTCTTTTGTAAAATCTTTAACAGATATCTCCTTGACTTGGTGGACAGTGATTCAAGGTAACTGAAAAATGGTCATTATGCAAAACAATTTTAATAGCCAATATATTTCGCCCATATAGCATCTTATTCTTAGAGCTTCATGGAACGGAAACCCCTAAGCGGTTTTTATAACCGAATAGTAAAAGATTCATGTTTACTGCATGAAACCTTTTATCATGTACGGATAAAAAACGCAAACGGAAAAGCTAAGAAAAAATTGTATAATATTTTTAATCTGTTTGGGTCATGTTAACAACCTGAATTCACCGAACTCTATGAGGATCGAACCCAGAATAATACAACTAGAACACAAACAAACATTCCTCCATCATAAAAAGTACTGATTCGGAGTACATCCAATTGTGGAGACCAAGGCTAAGACGATTGTCATGCTGCATTATGTATAGACAAAATAAAGCAATCTAACCACTTAATAATTGATCTCAGAGGGTAGAATCTGTACATAAATGTATTATAGCTTTAAGCTGGAAGTTAGTTCAATGGCTTTACTGAGGTTATGAAACGAGCCCATCAGTAACTTAAATGCTTTTGCTGAAACATAATTTCTTCCTCACACAGTATTCAACGACAATGCAAAATTATTTGAGCAGGACAAATACAACAAAAAATGCGAGATTATATTACATTGTTTGCGGTAGTTTATGTCACCTGAATTGGTTTACATAACGGGAACTGCTTGATAGTTCCATCAAATATATTTGTGTCTTAAAACCAGCAGACAGCTTTATTTAGCAGGTGCTTTTTAGAACGTTTAATGAGTAGCAGTCTTAAGCATACAGTTAACCTTCAGTTACATTATTTGAGAACTATAACTTTAGGCAAGACTGTTCTCTTGCTTTCATCTCCGCTTTATATTTAGAGAATTCTCAAACGAATCTTTTGTTGATTCTAGAATCTATTTTTAAGGATTCATAAATATAAATTGTAAAACTAACTGTTAAATATTGGTAATACTGTTGTGATTTCTAGTCTAGTTTCAACGAGTGTTCCTTCAGGTTCTACTTAATACCGTTTTAAGAACCTAATTAATAAACGGAATTTTGTGGGTGCAAAGATTCATGAATTTCTGTTTTGTGTTGAGCTAATTATTTGATTACGAGTATTTAAACGTAAAAATCAATTTTTTAAAAATCAATTCAATAACATTCTTACAGAGATATATTTTTGGGATAAAAATAAGTACAAAAGAACAATTGCAACGTACCTCGTCGGTTCATCAAAGAACATAACTGGTGGATTGTTGACAAGTTCTTGAGCAATAGCAAGCCTCTTTTTCTGACCCCCAGAAAGTTGAGATGTTCTTGTGTGAATGGCATCACGAAGACTTAATACATTCAAAATATCATCCACCTGAGAGTTTTGAAAACAGAAAACATATTGACCACCAATTTACTGTGAAACAATAAAATGATTAAATCCTTATAAATTCTATCCTACAAAGATGAATTTCAGTAAATTATACACCAACCAATGTAGACTAGGAACGCAAAACAATTTTGAGTGAACTCAAAGGGCCAATGATATGTTTAGATTAAGTACGAAAGGATGGGGAAAACATTTTGCTAGATTTAACTCCAAATTGCCTTATTTTTGGCTTTGAAAACGCTTTATAGGAAACTAATCTAAGACTGATTTTACCCGGTGTGGAAGCTTACTGCATGCAAAGGGACGGAATTTTGAGAGATAGTAAGTGGTCCACAAACTGAGTACCTACATGCAGTTCAAAAATATCCGGATCCAAGAAGTTCACCTCTTAACTTGGCGAACTACAAACTGATGACTGAAAAATTTAAATCAAATAAACATGTCTGAGGATGAATAATTAAGTGTATATATATATATAATTTAATACCAGCCTTTACAGATACGGCGTCAAAATAAGCATGAGTTAAAGAAATATATAGGTACAGAAGAGGGGAAAACAATTCATTTAGGAGAATGAAGATATTTTTGTTTGTTTACTGCACGCAATTTTGAGGGTTTTTTGTTTCTTTTTATTTTTGTAATCGCTCACAGAAAAGGATGCATTCGCTCCACTGAATTTGGTTTGATGCCACATCCCGCAGTGTCTCCAGCCAAAGTCAATCTGACTTGAAAAAGGCCTTCCAAGAAGGTCGAAACTTTGTCACCGAAATCTTGTGTTTTGGTATTCACGTTGTGACTAAAACAAACCTGATTCTATTGTTACCATGAGCACAACGCCCAATTTTTTCGAAATGATCCGGAACACCAATGGATTATTAACTGATTACTTACATTACTTGTCCCATAGGGTGCTTACACTAATAGAACTTTAACAATGATGAACAAAATTCGGTATGCCGTATTCGGTTGTGTAACGTGTGCTCATGGATGTTAG